CGAAACTCAATAACAACAACAATAAACAAGAACACTAACAACAACAACACAACCAAAACCAACAACAACAACACATACATACAATTCTGAAACTCAATAACAACAACAAACTCAATAACAACAACAAACCCAATAACTGAATACAAAAAATAATTAGGACACTTACCACAAACAAGAAGATCAGCACGTTTCTTCTGAAATTAGCGAAGCCGACCACTAAAGTCGAACCCTCGGCGTCAACAGCGGCGACCTTCGTTGCTGAGGAATGCTCCGGCGGCGTCGGTGGATTCCTTGGCTGCGCCGGCTTCCGTTGAAGGAGGTGTGATTTTGGTGGAAGGCGTGGATGGGATTTTGGTGAGAAGACGAAAATGAAAGAGGAAAGTGAAATCGGGAAATTATACCTGCTAGAAAACCGCTACTTGAAGTAGCGGTTTATTAAACAAAAACCGCTACTTGAAGTAGCGGTTTATTAAAAAGAAACCGCTACCTGAAGTAGCGGTTTATTAGTAAAAACCGCTACTTCAGGTAGCGGTTTTGCTGTAGACCGGATTTAAAATTTCTTCCCCCTGAACCGGTTACGTGGACGGTACTTTGGGAATTCTTAAAACTTTGGCTGCAATTTGGGAATTGCGGTTCTTCTTGACCTTAATTTGGGAAAGAGCTCTTATAAAAGTGATTATTCTAATTAGTTGGCATATGATGATTGATGATAAGTCACTACGGTTCAAATTTTATACACTAGCTTTAAGAGGAACCAAACATATTAACGGACAAAGAAAACATATTAACGGAGCCTTCACAGCTTAACGTTGCACCAACCCCTAGACCCCAAACCATTTCAGCTTAACTCTTGTTGATCCTCGTTATTATCGCCCGTGATTTGTTATTTCCTCTTTTCAGTTGAACAACTTTCTCTTTCACTCCACACTCTCACTGTTCTCCTTCATCTACTTCTCCATTATCTTCCTCCTTCAACTCAACCTCAATTCTCCTCAACAACAATGGCGTCAACAGCTCTCTGTCACTCTCTCACCTCTCCCCTCAATTCCCACTCTTCTCTCTCTCATCGCACCAATCTCACTCTCTCTCCCAATTTCTCTCCCCCAATTCCCCTCATAAAATTCAGATCTCTTTCTCTCTCCTCCTCAAATTCCCCTCTTTCGTCACTCGCGCTTCTTCCGACGCTTCTGCTAGCAATTCCACCGATGAAACTCCCATTGAAAAGCGTTCGTATTATCATTCATTGCATTTCATCAATTGCAGATGTCGTTAATTTTAAAGATTAAAATTTATGATTTTCATTATTTTTCGGGTGCAGGAATTCCGGCATTTCCCACTGTTATGGATATTAATCAGATTCGCGACATTTTGCCTCACAGGTCAGTTTGTATGTTCTGAATTGCTTCAATTTCTGTTTCTTTTGGTGTAATTTTTGAATTTAGGGTTTAAGGTTTGGAGATGTTGAATTGGGTGTTGGTATTGTGTATAGGTTTCCGTTTTTGCTAGTGGATAGAGTGGTAGAGTATAATCCAGGAGTTTCCGCAGTTGCGATTAAGAATGTCACAATTAATGATAATTTCTTTCCTGGCCATTTTCCTGAGAGGCCTATTATGCCTGGTGTTCTCATGGTTGAGGTATGAACTTTATTCTTTTTTTTTTTTTGGGTTTATTCGTTTTTAATTGTGTTGTGAACTTGTGATCAATCTTCATTTAATGCTAAATTGGGATATATATTGCCACATTGTTGAAATTTGGTGAGATTGTAGTCTTTGCTATCTGTTTCGGGTTTTTAGTATGAAGGTAGGCTTGGTAATTGCTAATATTAATGGTTTATTTTCTTTTTGTGAACTTCTTTGATATCGCGTTTAGGACAATGACTGTGTTGAGTGACTTTGAGTTGGATATGGTTCTTTCTTAGGTCTGTGTCTTTACTTTGGTGGCTTGGTACTTGTGTGGGAGTTAATCTTTGGATTGAAATTAGCTTATGATTTGTTGGTGCTGTCTGAAACTTGTTTAGTTGACAATAAGGAACTTACTAAGGGGTCTTTGTCCTCTTTGCAAGTTAAGATAAAAGTGGTGTATATAAACAGTTGTCCTGATTAATGGATACTAAAAAGGTGCAAATTTTTATGCTTCCAATGAACCTTCAGTATGTTAATATGCTGTCATGAGTCAAAGAGATTTGGTGATGTAAATTGTATTCTGTTCTAATTTTGCTAGATATCCTAACATACGTGAATATGAGAGAGTGCGAACCATGATGAGTGTTTGACAAACAAAGCTATTGCAAAGCAGAAGCTCTTGCTTTTGGAATGTTGCATGTGGTGGGAAAAAGGAGTACATGTGCATGTCTTTGCATTTTTTTAGGGTAACTTCCATTGATTACCAACTGTAGACCTTAAATGGCTTTAAATTGTTTATCATTTGATAAATTATTAATGCTTAGAAACAATAGTGTTTACTTAGAGGTTGTTGGAGGTGTGAAGAAATAGAATAAATTCAAGTTCATGGTGGTCAGAATTGGTTGGAGGTTTCAAGAACCACAACAACCAAATCCTACCTCCACAGAGTTAGATTTCTTTTCGCTTCTGATGTGGTGCTGATTAAGTGGTTAGCTCTCTCTCTCTCTCTCTCTCTCTCTCTCTCTCTCTCTCTCTCTCTCTCTCTCTCTCTCTCGCGTTCTGTGGTGGTTAAAAGGTGATGGGTCAGGTTTGAATCTGACATGGCTCATGGTGGACTGCCAGACTGGTGGGAGATTGGTAGTGGATTGGGACAAACCAACAATGGGGTTGAGGGAAATGCAGGTAATACTTGGATCCAAGTTGGAGTTGGAATTGATGTAGAAGAATTATGGGAATCCTAAATGGAATTGGGGGGTGGGGGGAAGAGAATTCATATAATACTTAACCAAACAATAAAGGAAATGTGGATATCAATTACCTTTCCTATTTTGAGTACCCCCAAATAGCCCCTTTTAATGCTTCTCTTTTAAACCTTTCCTGATGTTATTATATGCTGAAAGTTGAGGTGGAGTAGAAATAGTTTGCAACCTGGCCAACTCAATTGTGATATATACATTGTTTAATTCCCCTTTTGCATTTTTATTCACGAAATTTTTATTATCTTTTGAATTTTATTTTTGGCCCAGTATGTATATGTTGGGAAGGTGTATATCATATCTGTTCCCTGTATATGGGAAATCATCTCTATGACTATTAGACCTTTTTACAAGTTCTTGAGAGTAAGAATGCAAAAGCCAAAAATTTTCAACATTCTACGTTTTTAGTTATCGCTTTGGACTTCATCAAGCAAGGTCATTCTTACTCAAAGAAGCAGAGCTTTTGCTTCAAAAGATTGTTTGATTTGTTTCTTTCTTCCTCCGTAGATTAATCTTCCTTTCTGCATAGATTATTCTTATTTGATGACACTGGCCATTATAAAAGATTTCAATTGTGGTATGCTCTTTTTGTCAAAGAGAGGACCACCAGGAGTAGGTTCCTCAATTGGTGAACCGAGATCATGCAGAAAAAGAATTTGAATTGAAATCCTTTATTAATTGTCCTAAATCTATACGCCCTGTTTGTATTTTGCAACACCAATCAGCTATTTATCAATTTGCAGTCATTTTTTTTTTCCTCTCAACATTTATATCTAATCTTCAATCTATAAAACCTCAATTTGGGATTAACAGTAACATTGACAATAAGCTTATTACTTGCATTTAGGCAATGGCACAAGTTGGTGGTCTGGTAATGCTGCAACCAGAAGTTGGTGGTTCCCGTGACAATTTCTTCTTTGCTGGTATTGACAAAGTAAGATTCAGGAAGCCAGTGATTGCTGGGGACACTTTGGTGATGAGAATGACACTCATCAAACTACAAAAACGCTTCGGTATAGCGAAAATGGAAGGCAAAGCATATGTTGATGGTGAGGTAGTTTGTGAAGGAGAGTTTTTGATGGCAATGGGTAATAGTTCAAGTGAATGATCATGTGTCTTTTAAGATTTTTATTTGTTTTTTACCATTTGTTTTTGCAAAATTAATTTAAACTAGAATTTGCAGAAGACAAAAATCTTCTGTAATTCTCTGTCCACTCGGAATCCTGTAGTATCTAATACATGAGCTGAAGAGTGCAATTTAGATTGTTTTGTCATGCTTTTTTTGTTGTCATTTTTTTTTGTTTATCTTTCAAAATCATTGAAGGGTAACACTGTCTAACAGTTGGGAGGGTAGTGTTTATTAATCTGTAGGAAAAGTACACAATTTAACTTATTTCGTTAAGATACAGAGGATGGAATATTTTGGAATGGTCTAATGATAAAAATGTGGTTTATTATTTAGGGAGAGCGGAAATAACTGATATTGTTTTGATTTCGGCAGCCAGCAATTTTAGCATATACATGCTTCTGCGCTGGAGTTGCTAAGATGTTCTCGCTAGACTTAGAAAGCCTCCAATTTAGATTTGCTGAATTGTCAGGGGATTAGACATGGTCTTCTATACATTGTTCATAATTCAAACCATAGATTGAAACTACCACCGTGTCACATACTCACACTGTTCACTTTTCTAGAGTGTATGAAATGTATATTCATTCATAGTCTCTCCATTAAGAATAGTTAGGTCACATCTTATATTCATAGTCTCTCCATTAAGGAGTGTCTTATACACATCATGTATCAACTATCAAGGGTAAACGTATGAAGTATTTTTGTAGTCAAATTTAGCATGAGCGTGTTTGTGACGTAAATTATTTGATTGTTGGAGATATCAATGTTCAAGATTTATGAAAACTAAACTCCGAAATTCAAAATTAGCTTATTGTTTACAGTAATGGAAGTGTCTAAGTTGAATATTTTTCATCCAAGATCGACTCATTGTCGTTGTCAAGTCCTTAAAAAATTGAAAAATAAAAAAAGGGTTGATTGTGATTTACTCCATTTCAATTTATATTTTGTATTTAATATTTTTCAAAGATAATTGGAACTACAGAAGTTCTTGCCAATAATGTTTCAACGATGTTGAACGTACAATACAAAGTAGGAAAAAAAAAAATACAAAATCCAAATCAGCCGTCATAAGATATTCAAAACAATCAAAATGATGACTATCTTCTAGTAAGTCAAGTTGACTTGTAAGTTTTTCGTATAGATTTTGTAAAAAGTCAAAAATTTAGCAAAAGTGAGCTTGAACTAATCTTCAATTCTAGATCTAAGCACAAATTTAGCAACCTACTTTTTATAGCCAAACATATAAATGAAATCATAGGCTAAATAAAAATCTGCTCCTTTCAAAGAAGAAAACATGATGTTAAATAAAATTTTGTTTCCCCTGTTTTTTTGCATACTCTTCCATTTTTCTTTCATTTTCAACTTTGCTGATGCAAATCAGCAAGAAGCAGAAGCTCTCATCAAATGGAAACAGAGCTTGCATAGTCATAACCAGTCATTTCTGTCATCTTGGTCACGGAGTACCGGATTTACCGCGAAGAACAGCAATGTTATCAATCCATGCCATTGGCTTGGAGTTGGTTGCGAAAATGGGTATGTCACAAGGTTGAACTTAACCAATGTGGGTTTAACAGGTACCCTTTATGCCTTCAATTTTTCTTCTTTGTCAAATTTAACTTTCCTTGATCTTCATGATAATAATCTCTTTGGAAATATCCCTTCATCAATTAGTAACCTCACTAAACTTACTAGTCTTCATTTGGGAAATAACCAATTCACTGGAAAACTACCCTTAGAACTTGGAAAAATGACTACCCTTACATATCTGAACTTCATCAACAACTTTCTTTCAGGCCACATTCCATCTTCTTTAGGAAATCTAACCTCTCTTTCTCACCTGATCGTTGGAAATAATCGGTTTGTGGGTACAATTCCTCCTAAGCTCGGGAATTTGGTATCACTCAAAGAGCTTCGTATTAACTTGAACAACCTTACAGGTCCTTTACCGCCTTCTATTGGAAATCTGAGAGGGTTGAAGGTTTTGTCAGTTTATGGAAACAAGTTGTCAGGCTCAATTCCAAAGGAGTTTGATAACCTCACTAACTTAACTTTGTGTTTTTTTTCAAACAATACTATTTCTGGTTCACTGCCTGCAAAACTTTGCCAAGGTGGGATTCTTCAAGATTTTTGTGCAAGTAACAACAGGTTTTCAGGCACTGTACCAAAGGGGTTGAAAAATTGCACCAGTTTGACAAGATTAAGGCTTGATAGAAACCATTTTGTGGGTAATATAACAGAAGATTTCGGGGTGTACCCCGTTGTTGATTACATTGACTTGAGTTACAATAACTTTGAGGGTGAGATTTCTTCCAATTGGGCTAGGTGCAAAAACATGACTAGTCTCAAGATTTCTGATAATAACATTACTGGTAAAATACCGCCTGAGTTGGGATTAGCAACCAAGTTGCAGTATCTAGATTTGTCATCTAATCAGCTGGTGGGAGTAATTCCGAAAGAGTTGGGAAATTTGAAGTCATTGTTCAACCTCACATTGAGCAATAACAAGCTCATTGGGAACATTCCCAATGAACTTGGTAATTTGCTCGATTTAGCCTCTCTTGATCTAGGCGGGAATGGATTAAATGGAACGATCCCAGAAGGAATTGGAAATTGTCTCAAAATGATCAACTTGAATCTAAGTCGAAACAGCTTGAGTGGAGTTATTCCTTGGCAGATTGGGAATCTTGTGAACCTACAAGTACTGTTAGACTTGAGCAGAAACTCACTTTCAGGGGAGATTCCATTACAACTTGGGAAGTTGGATAGCTTGGAGGACTTGGATCTTTCTCATAACAATCTTTCTGGCCAAATCCCATCAACTTTCGATCAAATGCAAAGTTTGATGTCTGTTGATATGTCCTACAACAACCTCGAGGGTCCTCTTCCTGATGGCAAAGTGTTCACGAATGCACCCCTCGAATCATTTATGGGAAATAAAGCTCTATGTGGGAACATAACAGGCTTAATGCCTTGTCCTAGAGCCCTTAATATTTCTAAGAGGAACGGCAAAGATTTGGTGATACTGATTATGACTCCCATCATAGGTGTTGGAGCATCCTTATGCATCATTGTAGCGGTTGCCTTGTATCTTCTGAAAGGGGTTAAAAGGGAGAAAACCCGGCGAATAGGCTCCCATCGAGAAAACATGTTCTCTATATGGAGCTTTGATGGGAAGTTGGTGTACGAGGACATAAACGAAGCAACAGAAGGGTTTGACACGAAGTACTGTATAGGAGTAGGTGGGCATGGGACTGTGTATAAAGCAGTCCTGTCAACAGGGCAAATTGTTGCTGTTAAGAAGCTGAAAACTGCACAAAACCCGGGTTTTGTAAAAGGAAAGAATTTTGAGGCTGAGATCGAAGCATTATCCAAGATTAGACATCGAAACATTGTGAAGCTTAATGGGTTTTGCTCCCATGCCCAACATTCATTGCTGGTTTACGAGTACTTGGAGAGGGGAAGCTTGGGGAAGTTGCTAGGGAACGAGAAGGAAGCAAGAGAATTGGACTGGGAGAAAAGGGTTAATGTGATAAAGGGGATTGCAAATGCACTTTGTTATATGCATTATGATTGTTCTCCTCCTATAATCCATAGAGATGTTTCTTCCAACAATGTGTTGCTTGACAGAGATTATGAGGCTCGAGTTTCCGATTTTGGCACAGCTCGGCTTCTATGTCTAGATTCTTGCAACTTGACCGAGCTTGCTGGAACTTATGGCTACATTGCTCCTGGTAATTCTTACTCTTTCCTAATCTACTCAATAATTTATGCACATAACTTCAAAAGTTGATATATATTTTAATTTCTTCCATGATATGCTAATAATAGTTTCACTAGAAATTCGAAATTAGATGCATAATTTTGCTTAGTATTAACTGTATTTAGTTCACTGTATGCAATGTTTTTATCTTATGTATCAAATACAATTCTAACTAAAATCATCGTCCACTCATTATATTTCCTTGCAGAACTAGCTTATACCATGAAACCTACCAAGAAATGCGATGTCTACAGCTTCGGAGTTGTAGCACTAGAGGTTATAAGGGGAAGCCATCCAGGAGACCTTATATCTCCATCTTCAAGCTCATCGGTGTACACTTCATCATCATCCTCGTCTGCAATATCCGACACTTCTCTGCTCGAAAATATTCCTAATTTAATACCCAAAGATCTCTTAGACACCCGTCTACCATATCCTTCTTCAGGATTGGCTCATGAGATAGCAATTATCATTAAGTTAGCTTTAGAGTGCATTAAGGATGATCCACATGTAAGACCAACCATGCAGTATGTGTGCCACCAATTGCAACCAACACGAAAATTAGCTCTATCAAATTCAATAGGGAAGATCATGTCATGGAATGAGGGTGAATGTAGCAGTGAAGGCGCGAAGAGCATGAGGTCTTCTAGTTGTTCTTCAGGTCATAAAGTTGATATCGTCTAAGCAATTAAGTCTGATGAGCATCAAAACTCTCAATCTTATATGCGATATCTGTGGATGAGAGGCATTTTGTAGACTTGCTTGTACGTAATCATAGAGCTTTAAAAGATTTTTAGTTGTACAATTTAGAGTACATGAAGCCATGAAGGGCTAATCGCGTTGATCATCTATGATCATGTGCCGCTATTAGGTGGCTTCAGTTTTTATTTCATTATTTGGAACTTTTGATTTATATAAGTAATTTGATTTATATCAGCTCCATACAGTCTAAACGAACAGGGCCTTGATATCGACGGAATAGCTGTTAAAGCAGTAGATTAGTAGATATAAGCCCTACCCAAAAACGTTTAACACAAAATCTTCAATATATTATATCATCGGTGGCAAATTATTTCAGTCAGAACACTAGAGTGCTAAAATTTGATACAAGTATTACTATATCTTGTAATCATATTGTAATGTCCAATGAAATAAATGAAAACTAACTTATATCATGTCTATTTCCCTGAGATAAGAGAAATTCATGATCATACTCATACTTAACTAGACCTCACTTCGGAAAAAAAAAAAAAAGGGCAAAATCACGCTTGAGATACAACATAATTAGTTCAATAGCACCATGAACTTGGTTGTTTTATCTAGCAAACACCATTGGTCTTCAACTTCCTTTCATCGACGAACTTCTTCCAAACATTGCAAACCTCCATTTGCATTTCCAAGGCACTCTTCTTCCTAGACATTTGCTGAGTACCATCCTCTGAATTCGCTACATTTAGCTTAGCACTAGCGCGAGCAGGTTGGGCATCAAGCTCGCTGAGAACCTTTTCAATGTCAGCAACAAGCCGGTCTGCAAGGGTGCGAGAGAAGTCCTCTCGGATGACAACGCGCAACACAGTCACATGTTGCGCGTCTGGGGGCATGGTGTAAGCCGGTACAATCCACCCGAACCTACGAAGCATGTCTGAGATCTCGAACTCATTGTGGAGACTATTGTCTTTCAAAGAGAATGCCACTAATGGAACTCCTATATCCTTCGATATGATGTTGAAGCGGCCAGTCTTTTCAATACCATTCTTCAAGATCATCGCGTTCTCTTGGCAGTTTTCCATGATATTCTTGTATCCCTATCGAATTGATAAGACATAATTAAACTCCATTCATTTAGTGAAAATGCAACTGACTAGAAAACGTACAATTGTTGTTAAATTGACTAGAAAATGTACATTATATTGTGAAGTTGTGAACTCTTCATAATGTAGTGAAAAAGCAACCAACATGTATTAAAATTAACATAAGGATTACCTCAAATCCCAAACGAATCAACTGATAGTATTGCGCGATAATCTGACTTGATCCTACATTAACAAGATCATTGAACGATTAGAAAAACAGACACTTGCTGAATTCATCATATAAAGTTTGTAACAAAATTCAGTCATATACCTTTAGAAAAATTGAGAGTGAAAGTGGGTTGATCAGCACCAAGGTAGTTAATGTGAAAGATGAGTTCTTCGGGCAAGTCCTCTTTGCTCCTCCAAATAACCCAACCAACACCGGCGTACACAAGTCCGTACTTGTGACCACTTACATTGATACTCTTCACCAATGGCAATCTAAAGTCCCACTCCAACTCAGGGTATATAAATGGCGCGATGAATCCACCACTTGCTGCATCCACATGAATTGGAGTATCCCATCTGCACATAACAAGAAAAGGAGAAAAATTAGCCAAGCCCAAACATACTATACACGTCATTAGTCATTGTAAAATGGACATAAAAATGACCGAAGATTATTGTTTAGTGTATGTTATAGTGAGGAATATACCCTGTTTCTTTGTTCTTGGCCTCGAGGAGATCGTTCAAGAGCTTAACATCTTCGAATTCACCATTGAGAGTCGATCCAAGGATGGCAGCAACACAGATAGTGTTCTCATCAACCATTTCCACAGCCTTCTCAGGGTCCATAACGTAGTATCCATCGCTTAGCTTGACTTCCTTCAACTCCACCTCAAAATATCTTGCAAATTTCTCCCAACATACCTAGTAGTAAAACATGCACCAAAATTAGACGTACATTATATTCCGTAGTATTATTAGAGATTGACAAATTACGACGATTATGTCCTGAAGAAATAAGACTTTCCCACACTAACTTATTATGTGACGTTTTGAAGTAACCTGAAAAAATTATGAAATCACACCTAGAACAAATTGTGAGACCAGCGTAACTACTAAGAATAAGCAAATGACAATATGTTGATGCATTGCAATTTAGATGAAGTTGAAGTTAAAATTAATGGAGCAAGTAAAATGGGCCTTAAAGTAAAAAATACCTGAACATTGGCACCAGTAACAATGTTGGGCTTGTCAATGGGTAGGCCCAAGGCCCGCCTTTTGTTTTGCCACCTTCTTTTGAAAGCCAAACCAGCAAGCATGATAGCTTCTGAGGACCCCACAGTTCCAACTCCAACAGCCACCTCAGAGTCTTTTAGTGGCGCATTAAATAAGTTTGCTATAATGTTAACGCACCTATTCTGTTTCCCACAATTAATAACATAAACAAACTCAATTAGTCTTTATTAAAAGCTTTAAAGTACTTAGTACAAACTTCATTTCTGAATTTGGTTTTTTTTTTTTTTTTTAAATGTATACATAGTGCTTAGGGTTATAAATAAGTAATAAATACACTCTAGAAAATTGTTTAAATTTAGAAAATCATGACAAAAACACATTAATTACATTGATTTACGCGTGTTTTTGTCATGAATTCCTAATTTTATACAATTTTCAATAGTGTATTTAATGCTTATATACAGCTCTAAGGGCTACATATAGCATTACCCCCTTTTTTTTCCATGATATAATCATCGTCCATATATGAAGAACTCTTATATACATTCTTAAAATATCAAATAATTAATACTCTCTCCTTAAAATAAGTCGTTCTTGTTATGTGGGTGCAACATTTATTCATCAGTACCTGTTTATTACGATGTTAGTAAATATTACAATTAACCAAAATCAATTTAATATAAATGAAATTTAACTAATTCTTTTTTCTATCTAAGAGATCAGAGTTTAGGGCAAATACTTCTCTCGTCTTTAAAAGTTCTTAATTAATTTTCCTTTTTTATTTTTATTTTTATTTTTGGTTAGTATAGATGCATTGATAAAAAAATTTATTCATCCTACTTTGCAATAGAGCTAGCTTAGAGAATGAAAGTAAAATTTAAGCACTTTACAAAGTTGATTCTAATTACTTCCTCCGTTTTTTTTTATTGCATCATAGGGGTTTTGGAGGCAAAATTTGGTAGTGGGAAAAAGTAAGAGAGAGAAACGTAAAAATACAAAATTGTCCATGTAATGTAAGATAAAATAAAAAGTAAGTGTGAAAAAGTAAGGGTATGTTGGGTAGTGTGAACATAGATATTTTTTATCCTAAAATGGAATTGATGCAATATTTTGTAAATTTCCAGTGATGCGATATTAAAAGAACGGAAAAAGTATTTAAAAATATCAGTAATTTTAATTGGCATAATAATTCCTATTCACTCAATTGGTAGGTGGTAATATGAATTATTTGCTTATCAAATAATTCCGTGAATAAAGATAAACTATATAGACATGATTCGATATCAAAATTATTAACCTCGGTTTTGGAACAGTTGTCACCTCTAAAACTTTGACTAGTTCACATTCATGAAAAGATAATGGTACCAAGTACAAAGTATTAATCATGTCGATAAGCAGTAGAGATTTGACTTGGAAAGGTCGCAACTGGGCTTGGAAAGGTTGTAACTGTTGAAATCCCCACGCATTATGCCAAAAGTTGCGCTAATTCTAATTGTCTTTTGATCTTTTGACGACAACAAATAAACTGTTGGTACTTTACTCTTTTTTTTTTTTTTTTACCTAATTCTTATGCTGAATTATCTTTAGTTCTTTACAATCTTCTACAATCTTAAGTTCAATCACAATATCACATCCATAAGCAGAAGTTGATGGGATAAATAGTTTGCTGTTTTTTTTTTTTTTTTTTTTTTTTTAACTAACAAGGGGGATCTTGACCAAACCACTACCCTCACAGTTTTTTTGGTCCAGTATTTACGGCCAGGCATTTGGGAGTAGAGGGGGAGGTAAGGGAATCTCTATTCCTAAAGTATCCTCGCTTGTTAGGATTCGAAATTTCAAACCTCAGGCCTTTAAGATCTGATGTAAGAACTTTACCAAGTAAGCCAACACTTTATTGGTGTTAAAAGGATGAAGTGATCCGACTGTATTTATTCTATTGCTAAATATTTCATCTCACATTCACTGAATTTCAAAACTCACTGTCATCGGAAGCATATATACTTTGCACAATTTTTGAACTTTGTTTGAAAATTATTTTCCAAGTAGTCTTCTCATTCTCTTTCTCTTACCCGTCTCATTATTGTCCACTTTAAATTTAGACAACTTTTTTTTAGTAGCATTTTGTTTCTAAATATCACAAGCCACGTACTAGAAAGTATCTTCGTATTTAACTTTTGAATTCAAGTTATGACTACTATTTTTTCCTATCCTTCCTAAATAATATGTTGATAATTCAATTTGTATCAGAGTACAATTCAAAAACCAAGTAGGACATTAAAAATTGCACCAACTAGGGCAACAATTTTGTTCAAAAGGTCATAATTTTTGTCCTGACTTATACAAAGAAATTTCTTTAATAAGTCCCTTTCGAGTTTTCCTATCCTTTGAAACTTAGGCATTCATGTCCATTTCATAGACAACATTAATTCTCGGGCAACCATTTTAATTCCATTAGTGCTTCTTCTGATCCTTTTTGTTATTCTCGTACGAAATTTTTTTACAAGACAAAAAGAAATTAAATCGAAAAGGATAAAAAGAATCCGAGGTTATAGTATTTTACAAAAATGTAGCATTAGATGAGATGCAACTCAAAATGGTTTCATACACCTTGGTTCTTGTTGAACAAGTTTACTTTGGTAATCTTTAAACTTTACAAATCTTGAAACTTTACAATTAATGGAGACAATACATGGAGTGGATTGGGCTGTCGCCCTAAAATAATAATGATAAATTAAACCTTTTTAAAATTGTAGTGTTCCTTTCAATACACGTTGGACTTAATTAAAAATTTGGTGAATGTTACTCGTATTTGTTAGGTAGAACTAATGTTAATTATAATAATAATAATGTATTTGGAGTTTAGAGCTTTAGTGGTATATTTTAATTATGTATTGAAGTTGTT